TTTTGTCGGGGACAACAAAGTGATCATTAAACACCAATGAGGTACCATGAAAATCCAAACTTGAACTTGAAACCCGAACTCAAAAATGGTCAGAAATGGATTCTAATAAGAGGGAAAGATGCTCGTCGTCAAGACGAGCATTAAACACTAAGGTACTACGATATTTCACTCGAGGGAAGTGGCCGGAAAAGAAGAAAGAAGGGCGGCAGCCATGGCCGCCATGGAGGGCCAGCCAAGAGAGGGGAGAGAGAGAGAGTGAAATCTGATTTTTTGTTCTTAAGTTCCTTATTTATAGAAAAACCCTAAAAAGGCCCCGCCGGGTCCAGAAAAGTAGAATTTGAGAAGACGCGCTCAAACAGCAAAGCTCCATGAACGAAAAAGATTCAAAATAAGAAAATATGAACAATGAAACAAACAGCATCCAAAACTGAGTCCCAAGCAGAGAGATATGCCCCAAACAAGTTCGGCGGCAACTAGGGCCGGAAACCCTAAAACTGGAGAAAAACGACCAGAAGGAAATTCTAAGAGTTCATGACTCGATGAAAAGTGAAAAGAAATCCCGTACGAGGATCCAGACTCAAAACAAGGTATTTTGCAATAACTTTCGTTAATTGCACAATGACCCCTACAAAAAGGGTTAACGGCAAAACTGCCCCAGAATGAAAATATCTTCCAAAAGATATTTTCTTAGATACCCCTGAAATAAAATATCTTCAAAAGATATTTATGAAAAGCACCCCAAGAAAAGAAAAAAATTCTGAAGAATTGTGCATCCATGCCCCTATGGACACCGGGAGCAATCAGAGTACTTTCTTGCAAAAATAAAAATACGTATTTCATAGAAACCACTTAGGATGAAGGCACGTGAAGTCAAAAACCAACTCCGAGTATAAGAAGTGAGATTGTGCCAACAAAGTGACAAACGGAGAAAAGACGAAATAGGGAAAAGGACAAAAAGTCCAAAAGTGAATAGTGTCCAAAAAGTAAAAATGTAGAAATGACTTGGTCCTCAAAGGAAGTTGTCGATCTAAATGAAAGAGTCTCAGAAACCATTTCCGAGCACTCATGATGACACTAAGTGATGAGAGACAGAACTCGGAAAAGAATATTAAACGGAAAAAAAAATTATATATCCGTAAAATTTCAAGAAAAAGGAAAAGGAGGAAAATGACCGGGTCATTACAATTGAATTTAAAATAAAAAATTTTCTAAGGTAAGTTATTTTATTATTTGGTAAATTATTTTATTAAATAATTTCATATTTAATTTTAATTGGTAATATATTTAATGATTTGAAATTAACATCCTGATTGAATTTCAATTAAAAATTACCTATTTAATTTTAATTGGTAATTTATTTTATTATTTGGTAAATTATTTTATTGTAATATGTAACTTGTTTTAATAATGATTTGAAAAATCTATCAATTAAACAATTACATATTTTATTTTAATTGGTAATTTATTTAATGATTTGAAGCATCTTGATTTAATTTCAATTAAACAATTACCTATTTAATTTTAATTGATAATTTATTTTATTATTTTGTAAAATATTTTATTAAATAATTACCTATTTTATTTTAATTCGTAACCTATTTTCGTTGTTTTAATAATGATTTGAAATATCTTGATTAAATTTCAATTAAACAATTACCTATTTAATTTAATTGGTAACTTATTTTATTATTTGGTAAATTATTTTTTATTTTATTTATAAATAATTTGAAGCATCTTGATTGAATTTCAATTAAACAATTTGGTAATTTATTTAATGATTTAAAACTAACAATTATTCAATTAAACAATTACCTATTTAATTTTAATTGATATTTTATTTAACGATTTTTAGAGTTTTTTTTTTTTTTTTTTTATAAAAACTCTTTTTATGTCAATTAATATAATTTTTATATTAATAAATATTTTATAGACTCTTTTTATAAATGTACACACAAATTTATAAGTATGTACGACGACAATACTTATTGTTGCTATGGAGAGGAACCTGTACAAGTTATTAAAAAGGATAACAATTCGATCTTCATTATAAAGTTTGTATATTCAACAGCCATGCAAAAAATACATAACAAACTATAAGACACAAAAGTATACATATATGGTCCTTTCTTTTTATAATGAAAATACTTATTGTTGATATGGCTCAATATTTTAAGCAAACATAAAGTTTGTATATTCAAAAGCCATGCAAAAAATACATAACAAACTACAAGACACAAAAGTGTATATATATATGGTCCTGTATCCAAAAGGATGAAGTTTGTGTGTATATATATGGTCTTGTATCTATATAATTATACAATTATAAGCTCTTTTGTTGGTTGGATCCAAGGGCTGTTTGTTGGTTGGTTTCACATGCACTTGAACGAAATACCAAACTAAATGCTTCCTAACGTAAAGAATTTTGGTCCAACGTAAACAAGTTAGTTATTGGAACAATATACCCTACCATAAAAAAAGTTCATATTCCCAGTATTGTGAAAATTTATGCAAATTCCCTGGTCAATAATTTTGACCAAAATTTTTCTAAAATTCCAAAATACCCTTAAGGTTATTTTAGGTATTTTATTTTCCTAAGAGTAAAAATAAAAACTAAAAATAAAAATAAATAAAATTTGAAAAATGCCTTATTTTTATTTATTTATTTTTTTAAAAAAATTTATTATTAAATTATTATTATTATATATATTTATTTCTTTTTAAGAGAATTTTAGGTATTTCAGTTTTCAAATTAAAGAATTATTCTTATTTGCTCAAATTGACGAATGTAGAGGGGGTTTTGAATACCGGAAGAATAATTGAACATTTTTGTATATAGTAGGGGTAATTTGCACTTTACCTAATAATATAACACATAAGCCCATGTAAAAACATTACTATTGTCAAAATTAAGACTCCAACTAGAAATAACACATATTCACTTTAAAGATCCAAGTTAAAAGCCCATTAAAAAAAAAAAAAAACCCCTAATCTAATTTCAAATCTATTGACCACATTTTGCTCCGCCCTTTTCAATGTATTGGGCATATTCTGTAAAGGATGATCCTCTCGTAACTCCGTTCTTGCCCTCGTCATTAGAAATAGTAGTGTTTTCCTTATCATAATATGAAAAGAAGAATTACTATTTTTCTTATCAAATTGTTCAATTTGGCTCTAAATTTTTTGAAATCATTAAAATTGATTTGGTTCCAAAAAAATTTCAAACCTGTCCAAATCAAACCGTAGGCATTCTTAAAAAATAATACTACTTTTCTTGTCATAATAGAAAAAGAAGGGCTATATTGTAGAAAAGAATTTGTCCTAAATATTAAATATTTTTAAAATCATTTAAAAAAATTGCGTATTTTTCACGAGCTATCCGGTTATTATATAGCCGTTAGTTTGTTTAAAAGAATTGCTTATTGTTCAGGAGCAGCTAGGTTTTATCCCCACAACCACCGCCCCTTTTATAAAAGAGTTCCAAACCCTAATCTCTCTCCAGAACTCACCGATTTCCCTTGCTAGTAAAAAGTTTTGTGCAATTTGTTTTTGAGTGTGCTGATTATTGAAGACTCAATTGCGTATTAATCACGAGTGTTTTTTCCTTACCACCGCCCCTTTTATAAAAGAGTTCTAAAACCTAATCCCATTCCAGAACTCACCGATTTCTCTTGCTAGTAATAAGTTTTGTTGATTATTGAAGATTCAATTGCGTAATTGCGTATTCTTCACGATTGTTTTCTCCCTACCACCGCCCCTTTTATAAAAGAGTTCTGAACCCTCATTCCTTTCCAGAACTCACCAATCCCTTTCCAGAACGATCGATTCTCTTGCTAGTAGTAAATTTTGTGCAATTTGTGTGTGTATTGATTGAAGATGGTATATCGAAGGAGTCAAGAATGGTACACACAGCGTGGTCTTTGTGATGGATTGCTATTGCCATTCGCACCATCTGATATGATTTCCTTGAATGTAACTGTACATAATTATACATACAACAGTGGTATGGTGGAAGTCAATCGCTCTACCAACACCTATTGGTACCCTGTGCCGGCTTCTTTGCTAGAATTTGACGACTTGTCACGCAGATTCTTCAATCACTACGTGTTCCGCAAGGGCGTCACCGTGGATGACCGGATGTGCGATGACATCCTCGCTTTCTCGCGCCGCATGCACCGGGAAAGAAGTCATATTCCCGAGACCGCCACACCCATAGCTATACTTAACGTAGTAATCAAGACATGGCCGTCCTTCCGTGGAAGCTCTGATGATGATCCTATGGAGATAGACGAGGTTGAATCCAATATTCATGATGATTTGCCACTGATTCAGTTTCTACGAGCGGCCCTGGATCGGGCTACCAATGGGTCAATGGATCGGGCTATACAGGACGACTATGTCGCGTTGAAGCTGGTACCCGCAACTCAATCATCCATCGACGCCTTGGAGAAGACGACATTCTATCGCTCTTGCACCATTTGTCTGGAAGAGTTCTCGGATGAACAGTCCATCACTCGCATGCCCTGCTCTCACGTCTTTCATGGAGATTGCATTACAAAGTGGCTTAACACATCCCACTCTTGTCCACTTTGCCGTTTCAAGATGCCAACAACTTCTTCATGTACCTAGGTTGTATTTTTCTATGTTCATGCTTTGTTATATCAATCGATTTGTATGCAATGAATTTGTTTTGGTATAAAATGATGATGATGATGGTGGTGGTCTGTTTAGGCACTTTTGGTATTTCTTATGTTGTTTTTTTTGTGATAATGGTAAAATTGTTTGTTCAAATGTCAAAACTGATTTTAAGAACAATAAACAATTTACATTGTTTGTTAACCTTAACTTTTTTACAAAAAAAATCAAACACATTCCTTGAGAACCTACCTATATAATTTGTCAAACACAAAATTGTAATATACTCTCTCATAAAAAAAGAGTCTAATATGAAACCAATTACAACAATATACAGACATATGTATATATAATAGTAACCACCACAACAACAACAGTTATAGATTAAATGTAGAATTATGTTAAACTTTCATGTATAATTATGGATTCAATACTCATCATCAGTACATGCTTATAGCCAATTGACCTGAGTCCCCAAGGAAGCAAAAGAAAAAATAAAAAATAATAAAAATAATAATAATAATAATAATAATAATAATAATAACAATGACAACGACTATGACAAAGAAGAATTACATAATCAGCTAGAGAGCCCATGAGCTGCTAATAAACTGAGCTTGAACTGTTGTGGTTAGGACAAACTTGATTTTCAACACCTTTAATTTAACTGAACAGAGCTCAACAAGCTAATCCTTGACACAACATGGTTCATTTGCATCCAAAGCTAAAACATTAAAGGGAATCCCTCAGATTTGGGTTTGCAAACTGAGGTCCAGGCAACCCTTGCACCAGTTCACTACTACAAAATATACCTATAATGACAAAAGTTTAGCAGCATTTATTAAAAAATGCTGCCATTTAACAATTTCTAATAAGTGAGCACGTGATTGCCGTGCACATTCTTTCTTTATTTTTTATTTTTTCATTTTGCTCCTCACTATTTTTTTTGGGCAAGTAAAACAAAATTCACTCGGTCTCTTCTCACCTCACTCCCTCAGTACCAAAATCAAATTGAAATCCTAGGAATGAGATTCTCTCACTAGCAGAGTTTCTTCTCTCCGTTACTAAGATTTTCAATTAAATCTTCATTTACATTTAGGAGAGAAATCAAAACTGAGCCCTAGGAGTGACATTCTCTCGCACGATCTGAGCAGGAAAAACTCTCTCCTCAACAGCTTCATTTACATTTCACAGAGAAATCGAAACCAAACCAAGCTGAGTTCATTAATCGGTCTGTTCTATTTGATTTTGGAGCTAAATCGATGTCTGATTCGTCCAAAATTGCCAACGATCAGCATTATATTCATGTTCGTCCACTCACAGGTAAATTCTATCAGATTCGCTTCATTTTTGTCAGGATTCATCTTTAATTGGAGATTGATGTTATTATTATATGAAACCCTAGCTTTCTAAGAGTTTGAATATGGTTTTAGAACTTGTTTACATTTGCAAAATTATGATGAATTCGATCTTGTTTATTGCTGAGACTTTTTGTGCTTGTGTTAAATGTCAGTTGTCTACTTTCTTACTTGTTTTTTCTCTAGCATTATTTATTTTCATTAAATCATTGAATGAACCTCTGAAAAATGTGTATTTTTCTGTACTCTGCCAGGATTAATTCCACACCAGCTTGAATTATTAGGCTACATTGGTGATAATGATACCTTTATCAAGTTCTAAATCAAATTTAATGTTTGGGTCAAATCGTTAGCCATCAAGGCAACTTTTGATACATAATTTGTCATAAATGTGATTCAATCATTTTCTTTTTTTATTTCATTTTCCATGTTATTTCTGATTTGCTTTTTTATTCTAAAATTCAAATTAACAATTCATAATTTGTTTGGTTTTGACATATAATGTGATTTTTGTTTCCATGATGGGTTTGATTGTGGTGTAAAATCATGCACCTTTTTGTTTCCATGTTGTGTAAGATATTAATATTGGTTTGATAAAATGAAAACAGATCAATTGCTGCTTGTTTTCCAAAATTGTTCCTTTAATTACTAACCAATGAGCCTTGGCTCTGTCGGTGCAACAATTTCTTTTAGGGATTTACGTTCTCTAAGCTTGTCAATGAGCCCTGGCTCTCAGTCAAGTCGTGTCACAACTTCAAGGCAGATCTCACCTCCTGGAGCTGGATGTATAGCCATGGAAACAAAGAAAAGAAGGTCTTCAAAAGTGGCTCAAAAGCAACTTATTCATAGGAAGTCCATTGACACGTTTGGGCAGAGAACATCACAGTGTAGAGGTGTTAAAAGGTTAGTTCATGCCTAATTCTATAACCCCCTTTTTATTTTATTTTTTTTTTTTTTACGTCCTTGGTCTCATAGATGGTGTATGTTTATACGTCCCTCAGACGTAGATGGACTGGTAGATATAAAGCTCATATATGGGACTATAGTTGCAAGAAGAAAGGAAGCCAATGTTAGTCAATAAAAATAGATTTTTACACTATCTTATTTGGAAGTATTTCTTTTGGAGTGGCTTGTTTTATTTGACTGTTGCTTGCTAATTCTTAATTGTTATGCTCATACTTGTTCGGGACTCTATTCCTATCAAATGACGCAATTTCTTCAGTTTCAATAACCAACATTTATGAATTATGTATGAACGACCATGTTCATGTGTTCACTTAATTAATCACTCTAACATATGGATTTCAGAAAGGTTATGAATCTATGATATGGAATAGAAACCTGCAAGAGCCTATAATCTTGCTGCTCTTAAGTATTGGGGACCTTCAATCCAAATTAACTTCTCGGTACGATTCGATTTGATTCAATCCCACTAGGCCACAGGCCTTCATGCTCTATTAGTCTGTTGATGCTTCTCAGATTGACTAAAACATAATGTTTATGCTGCTTTGAACAGCTGAAAAATTACCAGCAAGAACTCGAGGAAATGCAGAACACAAGCCGTCAAGAATTTGTTGCTCACTTGAGAAGATAAAACTGTTGACAAATCCTTCTACAATTGTGACTATGCTTAAAAAATTTATAAGACTAATGTTCACATTTTCCCCTTTTTTTATTTTCCAGGAAAGGTAGTGGTTTTTCTAGGGGGGCTTCGATATACCGAGGATTGACAAGTTTCTATTAAAAATCATTTTCTATTAGATCATTTACAACAGCTGAATATATATATAGGCATCATCAGCATGGAAGATGGCGAGCTCGGATGGGCCGCATAGCAGGAAACAAGGACCTTTATCTTGGGACATTCAGTTAGTATCTTACACTCTTCAATAATTTTAAAATGTATTTCATTAATGAGTGCATTTGATTATTTAGTTTGTAAATCCTATAATCATGATAAAATGAACAAGTATTAAGAGTATAAAGTTGTATAGTTGTCTCTTCTAGGCTCTTGGTGTGCTTTAAGAATTTGGGAAGTTTTTTAAAAAAATTTAAATGTCATTCTCTGCTCTCTTGCTTCTTTTTCTTGAGCCACTAGTGTTGCTTTTATGGCGCTAATGATCAGTTGGTGATTTTCTGTAACACTGGACCTTTTTCCAAGGCTGTTTCTTTCAGTTAAAGTTGATAAAGGCAAACAAAAGCAATTTGTGGATAAAATGGTTGATTAAGAGGCTAAATATTTTTAGGAACTGCATCTTTTTGGCTAAGATCTAAATATTGTAATTTTTGTATAAGATCGTATGGTGGTGTTTGATGTGTTGGAGGATGACTTGAAGTTCACATAGAATGTGGTTTTGGAAGGGTTTAAAGGAGTATTTACGGTGATAGATGTGTGTAAGGGGAAGGGATGCTTTAAGGGGACGGAAGGGTGGTTCTTGGTGGACATTCCGTGGGTGGCATCATGTCTTTCTGGTGTGACCACAGTTACTAAGCTTATGGCAGAAATGAAGTTAGGGTTAAGAAGTAGTAATGGCGGTGAGAAGATGGTTGTGTTGAATTGTTAGGGGCTCATAAGAAATTTTTAATAAGAAAGATGGGTTAAGTGTAAATATGATGACTTCTTTGAACATTTTTAATAATATGATGATCATAACATAAAATATTTCAAATTTTTGGTTTTAGAAATAATTGTTATTGTTGTTGTGGAGTAGATTCAACTGTGTAGTTCATCAAACGATAAACTAATTATTTTCACAGCTCATTAATTATTATGATTTGTGAAGTTTTCATTATTAGGTTGATGAAAAATAATATTACTCTTAAAACATAGGATCATATATATAAAAAGATATATTTATTAGTTGTTGTGTTTGTATCTTAAGTTTTTACGATTTGTTGTGTCGTCAGTGTCGTATCCGTGTCCCGTATTTGTATCTATGGTTCTTAGGTGTTGAGAGAGAGAGAGAGAGAGTTGTATTTTTGAAAGGCTGCCAATTGGTTCATTCATAGAAGAATACTTTTCTAGTGGGGTTCTTTTGGTTTGTGTCTCAATAATACACTTGTTCAACTTAATACTTTTTGTAAGACAAGTGAAGTGATACAACCATACTCATACTTCCTTTCCTTTTCCAATTACGATACAAGTGCAATTTTATTTTATGATGATACATATTAAAATATATGTTTACATTTGTTGTCTCACCCTATCCATCCTAACTTTTTTGAGAATTGCCAATTTGCCACGAGTTGTCTATATCTTGTTGTATCCGTATCCATTGTCAATATCCATTCTTCCTAGGTGGTCATTTCATGCCAAAGCAAGAGATTGAGTGTACTGAAACTATCATTGGAGCTCTCTCTCTCTCTCTCACTCTCTCTCTTCTTCCCAACTGTTTTATCTTTCAAGGTTTGCGTTTCCTTCTAGAACAGCATTATAATATTCTCATTTTTTGCATGCTTTCTTTTAAAGAGTATAATATATTGATGCGATGCCTCTTTGCATTCCCTGCCCACACTTCTTCTACTCGTGCTTGCTCAGATTTTGATTGAACTGATATAACCATTTCACTCTTTATGGGCTTCCATTAGTGCAAAGGAAATAGTGAAAAACATTTCTTACTTGGTTGTATGCTTTGATTTTTTTCTCTGCTGATAATTAGGTTAATAAATCTCCATAATCACCGAGGCCTATGGCCTAGTGGTATCTCATCTCCTTTCAACATGAAAGGTAGAGGGTTCAAGTCTCCCCAAGAGGCATTGTGGGAGTTCTTTGCCAGAAAATAAAAATTCTCCATCATCATATCATTCATCCTTCTTTTGCTCACTAGACCAGCGAAATTAGAAGTAATTGTTAAAAGTTTCCAGGTCGTGCATGAAGAGGGGAGAAGATGAAAAATGAAATATCTCACCCCCCTTTTATAGAAATCTCAAAAAGTGCCCTGAACGGGCCCCGCCGGGTCCGAAAAAGTAAAATTTGAGCAGAGTCGCTCAAATGGCAAAACTTTGTGAACGAAAAAGATTCAAAATGATAAAATATGAACAACAAAAGAAACGGCGTCAAAAACCGAGTCTCGAGCAGAAAGTTATGCCTAAAACAAGTTTGGCTGTCCATCTATTTATTTGTCTTTTAAAGTTCTTTACCTAATATTCAGTTCCGCATTGCTCCTAACAATTTTCAAAATGGTTGATGAAGAACTAAGTATTTAGTTGGTGTAGTTATCCCGTTGACTTTTATTTTTCTATTAAATTTCACATTGCCAATTGATAAAATGTGTAGTGGCTTGGATGAGTAAGAGAGGGATCTATACCTCATTCTGCATGACCTTATCGTTATCTTGGTTAGAGTCGTGTTGGGAAATCTTTGTTAGGTTATCTTGCCCATGGGTAAATCACTCTTAGAATCTAACAAAAAAATTAGGTGTTTATGAATACACTTCTATTTTTGTTTTTTCATTACCAAAAATAGTTTGTTTTCTGGAACTTCCTAATTCTATTTATTTTACATTTTGCATGTTCCCTGTATGGTGGATTCTGCTACCAGCACACAAAATACCATAAGCATAAGTATGCCTTGTATTATCCTTTTTCTAGCTATCATCTGGTTAGTGTTGATGTCTTTTCTGTAAAGCCAAATTTTGGTGTTGTGCAGTTATTACTGTTCAAGTATTTGACCTTTTTATTTTGCTATCATATGTGAATTTTGTGGCTATTTCTATCTAAAATAGCTACATTTGTCTGTAGAAATAATTTTTATCTTTGGATTTTTTAAATTTCTGCTTGAAGACTATGCCGTGAATTGACGGTTTCTCAATAAAAGTTCATCTTATCACATGTTATTGCTGTTTGGTCATGCAGAAATATTGCAACTGTGCGATTAGGGTTTGTAGTCAAGGGACCGAGCTATCATGGAGGAGGGCCAGTCCTCCTCCCCCACACCGCCAGCAAGTTCTCTAGGCCGGAATCCGTCCCCTATTAAACCTACTTACCGTAGTTTTTTTGATGAAGCTCTTGCAACTTTTAAGAATCTAACCTATCACAAAGAATGCAGAGGGGTTAAAGTTTCTATTACTAAAGCGGATGTTGTTGAAGAAGTCGCTTTTTGGAAATCTTCTGTTGTTGGCTACATGATGGGTAAGAAACCGTATTACCCATACTTCAAATCCTTTGTGGCCAAATATTGGTCAAAAGACTTCACGTTGGTGTATTTAAAGGATGGTTTTTCCTGGTTCGATTCAAGAATGATTCTGATGTCCCTAAGGTACTGTCGAGGATCCATACGTTTGAAGGACGACCTATTCTCAAGAAAAGATGGGACAAAAATGTAAACTTGCAAAAAGAAATTCTAGAAACAGTTCCAGTGTGGTTACGCATCTATGACCTGCCGATGCACTGCCGGAACGAAGATTCAGTCTCAAAGGTTTGCTCATTCTTTGCAAAACCAATTTACATGGACGATCCTGAAACACACAGAGATAAAGGTCAGTTTGTAAGGGTAATGGTGGAAGTCAAAGTCAAAGATGATCTTCCAGACTCCATGGTTGTAGATATTCATGGCATTGATTGTCATGTTGAACTTGAGTATGAATGGAAACCTGTAGCGTGTAAACTGTGTCAACGAGTTGATCACAATGAAGAGAGATGTCCCCTTAAGGTTACACAACCCAAGGCCAAACCAAAGAAAACAGTGGATCAATATGTTATTAAGCAAAAAGGGAAGATGATTGAAGACAAGGATGCTAACCAAGTGATTGATGATATGCCTGCGAGAAGGGTTCAAAAAGAAGTCATAGTGCCTACTTCAAATACTTTTGCTCTTTTGGAGGATAATGAGGATGCTAATGTTGTGGTGACTCCATTGGAGGTGGTGGACAAAGAACAGTTGATAGAAGCTGAGGTTGCTGCTCATTTGGAGGAGGTTGAGAATTCTAATGATGTGGTGTCTCCAGTGGAGGAGGTGGAAAAAGGAAAGACTCTAGTTTTCGAGGAGGCTACATATTTGGAGGACAATGAAGATACTAATGGTGTGGAGACCCTAGTGGAAGTGGTGGATGTGGAAAATCCTAAGGCTGTTCTACATATTGCAGGGCAAGCTAATGCTACAGCTGATATTGGGGTTGATGATGTGATAGAGACAGTTGTGATTGAAGATTTATCTTTGGATGAGGATAGGCAGGTTCAGGAGACCCCAAAATCTCAAATGGGTAAAAACTCTGGTCCAAACCAAGAGACTCCAAGAGTGGGAAAACAATCCAAACAAAGAAATAAACCTTATGTGCCTCCATCAGATAGAATAACAAGGGGAATGCAAGCAGGCAGTGGTTCACTGCCATTGTCTCAATAATGTTAGGAGCATGGAATGTGAGAGGTCTTAATAAACCTCCCATGCAAAAGGAAGTAAAGCAGTGGATACTTGAGAATAAGTTTGCTTTTGCTGTCCTTGAACTAGAGTGAAAGAAGGTATGGCATTCAAAATTCAGAAAAAAATAAGCCCTCAATGGAGCTGGATGGCTAACTATAAGTCTCATTATTTGGGAAAAATCTGGATTGGTTGGAATGGAGCTCTATTTGATGTGGATTTAATTAATGAAGATGCTCAAGCTATGTTAGTTCAAGTAAAGCATATTGTGTCTAGTAAAACTGTTTACATCACTGGTGTTTATGCTGCCAATAGAGTTAAAGAAAGAAGAGAATTGTGGAAATCTCTTAAAACTCAATCAGAAATTATTTCAGGTCCTTGGATTGCTATGGGAGATTGGAACATTATTAGATACAGTCATGAAAAGAAAGGGGGTCTTCGCATTCCTCAATGTCGACTGGATGATTTTAATAGGCTGATTCAAGATATAAGTATGGATGATCTTCCCATAAATAATGGGGAGTGGTCCTGGAGTAATAAACAGAACTTACAGTCAAGGATTAAGCAAAGTTGGATTGAGTGTTTGTGAATTCTTCCTGGCTGCAGCAATTTAATGACTCCAAGGTTTCCCTCACACCAGCTTCATTGTCTGATCACTATGGGATGGCAATTCAGTGGTATTTTGATTGTTCAACTGGTCCAAAACGTTTCAAATTCCTCAAGATTTGGTATTCAAATGATGATGTGGTTCCAGTTATTTCTACGGCATGGGAGATGAATGTCACAGGCAGCCCCTTCTATGTGCTTCAGAAAAAATTAAGGGCTGTAAAGGCTGTTGTGAAGGAGTGGAACAAGACTAAGGGTACAGCATCTGAACAAATTCAAGTAGCTAGAGTTAATTTGCATTCAGCTCAAATGGATCTATTAACATAGCCAGATGATCAAGCTTGTATAGATAGAGAAAGAGATTTATCTGGTAAATTGCAGCATGCTCTTGATCTTGAAGAAATTTATTGGGCTCAAAAAGCTAGGATAAAATGGCTCCAAGCGGGTGACAAATGTACTGCCTTCTTTCACAATGTGGTAAGGCAAAGGAGATGCTTCAATTCTATTACTCAATTTCAAAATTCCAATGGTGAGATCTCTGCAGACCCTAATACCATCAAAGAATGGTTGGTTAAATTCTATAAAGCCTTGTATAAGAAACAAGATGAAGCTGAAGTTGAACTGCAGGCACCTAGAAAGGTTTTAAGGGATGAAGATGCTCAGAATTTCGACTGTGATATAACAGCAGAGGAAATAAAGGGTGTTGTCATGCAATTTCTGCCTGATAAAGCACCAGGTCCAGATGGATTTCCTGCCAGATTCTATCAACATTTTTGGAGGTTTATAGGACAAGATGTGATCAATGCTGTGAACCATTTTTTCACTGAATGCACCCTTCCTCAAGTTATTAATTCCACCTTTCTTACCCTCATTCCAAACGCAAATCATGGTGACAAAATTGCCAACTACAGGCCCATTGCCTTGTGTAATCTTGCTTATAAAATTATCTCAAAAATTCTAGCAAATAGACTGAGCAAAGTGCTCCCCAGTATCATTGGATCTGAGCAAGTAGCTTTCATTAAAGATAGAAGGCTACATGATAATACTCTTCTTGTTTCTGACTTAATAAAGGGGTTTGGAAAGAAATATGGTGATCCAACTATTGCTTTGAAAGTTGACTTGAAGAAAGCATATGATTCTGTTGATTGGAATTTTATTCAGAGAGTGTTACAAGGACATGGATTTAGTGATAAATGGATCAAATGGGTTACTGTATGCATCACCTCTCCAAAATTCTCAGTTCTGTGTAATGGAGTGCCTGCTGGCTTTTTCTCCACTTCCAGAGGCATAAGACAAGGCTGCCCTCTCTCTCCACTGCTATTTGCATTTGTCACAGAATATTTCAGTAATATGATGGAGACAGCTATTGTTGAGGGTAAGATTAAAGTGTCCAGGGTAGTGTCACAGACAAACATGAAAATGTCACACACTTTTTATGCTGATGATCTCTTAATGGTGGTCAAAGCAGATATTTCAACTGTCAAGGCAATTGATGTTATCTTTCAACAGTTCAAACAATCTATTGGGCTTCCGGTTAACAAGGAGAAAAGTACAATTATCTTTTCTAAATCAGTGAGAGGTAAAAGAAGGATATCTAACATTTTGCAGTTTCAAACTGAAAATTTCCCTTTCAAATATCTTGGATTGCCTTTGTCTAATAATAATTGGAGAGCTGGAGATTTCAGAATGCTCTTGGACAAGATTAATGGGAGATTAACTCGTTGGAATACCATCAATCTCTCTATGGCAGGACGAATTGAATTGTTGAGGTCAGTTTTATATTCTTATCTCTACCACTGGGTGTTTGGATTTAAAATCCCTTGGGAGGTCAAGATTGATTTGGAAAGGAGATTCAAGCATTTTTTGTGGAGTGGAAAACTCGATGTCAAAAAAATTTCTCAGTAAAAATGGAGCCAAGTGACTATGCCAATTTCAGAGGGTGGCTTCAATCTTAGAAAAATCCAAGACATAGATGTGGCTGCCAAACTGACTTTATGTTGGGATTTTGTTCAGCAAAAGGATAAATTGTGGATTCAATGGTTACATGCAAGGTATCTTCAAAGAGTTTCTTTTTGGAATGCTATTCCAAAAAATACTGATTTCCCTATTTGGAAACAAATTCTAGGGGTTAGACATTTGTTGTTACAAAACCTTGAGTTTAGGATAGGGGGTGGGCTGAAGTTCAAGATGCTTACAGACCCTTGGTGTGAAAATCAAACCTTAATTCAGAGATTTGGGGCTACATTACTTAGACACGTGGATAGACAAGCTTTATTAGCAGAACTTATTATCAATAGCAGGTGGGATAGACCTGACTTTCTGCCTGAGACAGTGTTTATTGTTATTCAGAGGATAAAGACTGTAGCAGGTTCAGACAGTATAGGTTGGAAGACTGGTGGATTTTCTCTGAAAGCTGCTTGGAACTCATGTAGATATGCAACTTCAAAAGTGACCTAGTGTGATCTTTGTTGGAAACATTGTAGGCCTCGAATTGCTGTAGGGGTTTGCATCATTTTACATAACAAAAATTTATCTTTGGTTAACTTGCAGAAACGAGGTTTTACTCTTGCTGCTATATGTCATAAATGTATGAGAAGTGAGGACTCCAATGATCATCTTTTTCGCACCTGTAGTTATGCTCAGAAGATTTGGCAAGAGCTTTTTTCTCTTCTACACGTGGATAATCCAAAATGTAATTCTCTCATGCAACTGGTGGAGTGGTTTGGGCTGCAAACCAGCTCAAAGTCAACAAAATCTAAAGTGCTGAGCTCAGTTTTTTCAACTGCTATTTGGAAAATTTGGGCTATCAGAATTGAAGTTCTGCACAATGGAGATCAACTTCAAGCTACTATTGTTGCACAGTCTATTGTTTGGGAAGTCTTGGCACATCTCAAAATTCGACTTGAAGATTTCCTTATCATTTTTTTATGAGGAAGGTTTTGTTTTTCATGGTTGTATTGCTGGGGCTTGTTTAATGTGTTTGTCCGAGAGATGTGTTGCTGATTTGCTACCGAGTTAATGATCAAATGGTTTTTAGAGGTTTTCTCAACACGTTGGATTAAATGCTCAGTGTGATAATGATGGGGTTTTTGGTTTCTTAGCTGGATTTGGTGCTGATCTGATGTCATGATTTGTTCAGCATCAGAGTTTGTTTTTTTTTTTTTTTCAGCTTCAGAGTTTTTATGTTTTAAGCAAATTATATAAATTAGGAAAAGAGGGAACTAGGAAATAAATAAATATAGTTTATTGTCTATCTCCATAATATTCCAATAAAATATCAATTTTAGTAGAATAATGTGAAATTAGTATGGTAAAATGAACAAGTTTTTATAATTTTCAAGAAAAGTATATCATATGCATACACCATAAATGAGTCAGACATGGTGAAAAAAAAATTAATGCAAATAAATAGTAAAGCATGGTACTTAAAAAGAAAATAAGGACTATGTGATTATAATTCATAAAATGTTTATAAAATTATCTAAAAGGATTTACACCATGAAATAATCTTAAAAAATAATAAAAATAGAAAAACGATAAACATTACCTTCGTTTCGTTATGAAAATAAATATCTCGTCACAACAGTTATGATCATACATCTCCTTTTGTAATGTGATCATGTGAACACCTAAAAACTAACAAAGGAAAAAAAATAATAATAATAAATAAAATAAAATAAAATCTTTATTTTTTAACGAAATTAAGACACGTTATAACCATTACATAGTTAGAAAAAATTATATTAAAAATTATCACCATTACATTGATAGATAAGATTACTTTTAGAATTGCACATTAGACTAGCAAAAATCTTTCATTTGCAGGCAGACTTCAACTTGTTAGAGCTATCATATTCTCTACTCAGATGTATGGAGCTCTAAATTAATTCTACCAATGAGCATTATTCATGAACTTGAAAGTATCTTTAGTGTTTTCCTGTGGTCTGATCCAATGCTGAAAAAAACTTGCGCTAAAGTTGCTTCGAGCAGATGATGTCTACCTAACAGGCCTGGAGGACTTGGTTTACCAAACATGCATACATGGAATGAGAGTGCTGTTATGAAGCATTTTTGGCACATTTACAGCTCAAAGGACATGTTTTGGGTCAAATGGATCCACACCTATCTTCTCAAAGGCAGAAGTATTTGAGATGTTAAAGTTCCAGGTCAATGTTCATGGAGTTGGAGAAGACTTCTCGGCCTCAAAGACACAAATCTACCTTCTTGTCAAGCTAGAAATTAGTGATGGAACCTCAGCCAATTTCTGGTTTGACAACTGGTGCTCTCTTGGACTACTGCAGCATCTTGTCCAACCACAGCAAATAGCAGGAATGGAGTTTGGCAGCATGACAAAAGTCAGCTCATTCATCATCTCTAACACATGGTCCTTCCCTACAACCATCCTCAATCATCTACCACAGCTACAAAGCATTGTCTCATTACCTATCCCCAATCCTAGCATCAAGGATAAGTTCATTTGGCTACCCTCAAACTCCAGTCAGTTCTCTATCTCCAAAACAATGAAACACTTCAACCAAGAACATCTTACTTTGCCTTGGCCACACCTAGTTTGGTCCAAACGATGCATTCCTAAACACTCCTCTACACTTTGGGTTGCCATTTAACACAAGCTACCAACTCTCAAGAGAAGGTGCACAGCTCACATCAACTCTACATTGTGTACTATTTGCAACACTGAAGCTGAATCACATAATCACCTATTCTTCTCTTGTTCATTTGTCAAGCCTTTGTGGAGCTTTTTTCAAGCAAGATGTGGATTCTACATCCAACCATCCTCTTGGGCACAATTTATTATTTAGGCATCATCACATCATTGGAGGGGAAATTCACAATTCCAAAGCAATACAATATCCAAACTGGGACTTGCAGCCCTTGTCTACCATATCTGGACTGAGAGAAACAGCAGAATCTTAAAAAAGAAAGCTCTCAGTTCCAACTCAATCCTACACCTATTCTTGGAGACAGTTCGAGCAAAGCTACTCTCTTCCACAATCACTGATTCCCTCAACACCACTAGAATTGCATTGGAATTGGATCTTCCTGAATCAGCAGTTTGTCCACCCGCTAAACCACCAGACTTGAGGCGCCAGATTGATCTCACCACTGCTGGAAATCAGTTCCATGATCACCGAATTGTTTTGTTGATCTTTATTATCACGCACTATTGTTGTTGGGCTGAGTTTTATGTCTTCAATGTTGTATTTTGTTGGTAAATATATATACTTCATGTAATGTTTAAGATATAACAAACCTTATACTAATATGTCATGAGATAATTAACAATATGCTAAGAAATTATTAATTAAATATGCAACTCTATATTTAATCAAATATGCAAAATAAAGAAATAAAATAATAATAATAAATAAAGAACCTAGACCGAGGCTAGTATTGGATATTATGTCCTTAAAACAGATTCGCACCGCTATGGTGCTTACGGACTCAGTAGCGTCTATCTCCCATGATACAACGGTCTACATCCACTAGTAGCAGCACTACAAACTCATGGATACGGCGAACCTTCTCCGTGTAATACTCTCTCTGACTCAAAAAATGCATATATACTATATATAAATACTGAATTGACTGCAATCCGAACCAAATGGTTCGGACCAATATTAATATGGCTCGATGAAATTGGATTAGGGTTTAAATGGTTCGGACCACTTAACCTATGGTTTGAACCCACTTGGGTTGGGTTCAAGTCTAGAGAGGGAGATAGAAGAAAATGAAAATGAATGATTTGCAAATGATCCAAAGGGGGGTATTTATAAGCAACAAGGTGCCTTTTCGGATTGGGTGCAACCCTTTGGAAAAAACTAAAAAGTAGTTTTTAATTAATGTGCCTTTTCGGATTGGGTGCAATCCTTTGGAAAAAACTAAAAAGTAGTTTTTAAGTAAGTGCCTTTTCGGATTAGGTGTGTATCTTCATCATTGGACACAACCATTTATATGTGTCTCTTCATACTGGACATATCCACTCCAATTGGTTGCAATGGTTCACATAGTGTCTATTCACCAATAGACACATCCACTCCAATAGGTTGCAATGGTTCACATAGTGTCTATTCACCAATAGACACATCCACTCCAATAGGTTACAATGGTTCACATGAATAATTATGTGTGTTGGTTTTAAGTTGCAATCCTTTAGAAATAGATGCAAATTTTTGAAAAACAGATGCAACCCTTTAGAAATAGATACAATCCTTTAGAAATAAAACTAACTTTTAATTTAAATTCAAAAACTAACCACCCATTTAAATAAGCCCAGCCCAAAATTAAAGGCCCAATCCAATATTCCATTTAGTAAAAAGAATAATTGGACTTTACAATTAGGCCCAAGCCAAAGCCCAAATTTGGCTTATTTAAATTTCAATTAATTTCAACATTTTTTTCATGTGGGATAAACACTTCCTACATTTTTTTCATGTGGGACAAACACTTCCCACATTTTGCATACTCATTTAAGCTTATCAAAACACCACACTTTGGAGCTAATTTCTCATTCACCCGAAAATGGATTTGAGAAAATAAATATACCACATTTATCTCCTTACGGAGAGAAATGCGCTCGTTTAGAGATCCGCAAAAAATTATTAGTGGAATCTATTCCAAATTTCATCCAAAGTTTATGTTTTTAATGCCTTCGTTTCCAACAATCCCCCACATGAATGGAAATTTGCGTAAAATGCAAAAGATGATCATGCAGACACTAGAGAGAGTATAGTCGGAAAGTTGCTGCATCAAGATAGGTAGCTTTTGGCTTTGAACCTTCCCTAATGTATTGCTATTGGATTTACTAGCTAACCAGTGAACGCGATATCTTGAACTGTTCAGCCGTTTGTGTAAAGCAAGACAATAACAAACACACAATACCTTTCCTCACAAAGTTGGTGTAACGACCAGGGTTTTTATTCAACCCGGTGCGTCAGTAATGACCCGAAAGTTTAACCCGAAAACGGATCCAGATGCGGAAGCAAGAAATAAAACAACGGTCTCCCAAGGCACTATACGCCCTAAGACACTTTGATGACCTCCCATGAGGTCACGGAACCCAAAGAAACCAACTGTGAAGGCAAAAGATTGGAAAAATAATAATTAAGCCTCCAGGGGCAAAGTAGTCAATTTACAGATGAGATGAGAGATTTGACTCTAAACAAGTCAAATGAGGTCCACACAACCTAAACTAATCATTTGACAATATTCCAAGAGGTTCTAAGAACTTTGAACAAGAATCCCACAAGAAGACCTTTCCCTGTTTGAACCAAATCCCGACACTACTTCACTAAAACATGAATAACTCCCACGATGATTTGAATCTGAGAATGGCATACCATTGGAAATTTGACTCAAAATTCATGAATTTAGGCTTAAGAATCACCCCATTTCGGTTAGAAATAAAGAAGATATAACCATTTGAAGTTGGAACAGGAGTGCTGAAACAAAATCTGGAGATGCTGAGGTATAAAGGCTATTTCGGTTGACCGAAATAGAGTTTCGGTCGACCAAAACTCACAGAGACTTTTCCAAAGTCTTGTTTTTGAGTGATGGTTGTTTCAGTTGACCGATTTGAGCCATCGGTCGACCGAAATGGAGTTTTAGTCGACCGAAACTCCTCGAAAGGCTGCTGAAACTCTACAAACATGTGAGATTTGCGAGGGGACCTATGGGATTCATTCTATTCATATGCATAGGTCAAAAACTGATCCTTTTTAAGGAGAATTGAGCATATGAGCATGCACACAAGTGTAAAATGGTATTTAAGACGCGTCCCAATGGCCCGCGGACTCAAAATAACTTTAATGCAAAATATGACTCCTCAATGGCCAAAAATGTCTTAAAATGCAATAAGCGAAGCCAAAATGCAAAACCTAAAATGAAATGGGGTTTGGCCCTTGGCCACACCTCATACATAATCATAGAGACCCTATAAAGAAAAAGAATGGAATTCCTATACCCGATGCAAAAGTTATGAAGTAATGACTTAGCATTTTTCAATATTTTCATAATAAACCTTAAAAACAAAAGTGCATAGAATACAAATAAGATGCCATTGGCCTATGGCCTCAACTCATACATGTCAAATACATTGTAAAGAGTGTACTTATGTACACATTACATAAATGGAATCAAATATACATA